AGCGTAAAATTCTAAGACGATTTAGCCATGTCCGTCTGTCTGTCTGTCTGTCTGTCTGTCTGTCTGTTGTAATCACGCTATCTTTCGAACAAATTGAGATAGAAGGCTAAAATTTTGCACACATGTATATTTTTCCAGTAGGCAGGTTAAGTTCGTAAATGGGTCATGTAGGTCCAAGTTTTCATATAGCCCCCATATAACGGTACCTCTCGATATTCGGTATTTTGATGATTTTAGCGACATTATTCACCGGAATTGTTTCAAATTTGGCACTTGAAGTTCGTAATGGATACTACAGCCTAAGACAGAAAATTATCTGTGCAGGTCCACGTCTTCGTATAGCCCCCATATAACGGTACCCCCCGATATTCGGTATTTTGATGATTTTAGCGACATTATTTAACGGAACCGTTCCAAATTTGGTATTTGAAGTTCGTAATAGATACTGCAGCAGAAAACAGAAAATGGACCATGTAGGTCCACGTCTTCGTATTGGCCCCATATACCGTACCCCCCGATATTCGGTATTTTGAAAACAGAAAATGGGCCATGTAGGTCCACGTCTTCGTATAGCCCCCATATACCGTACCCCCCGATATTCGGTATTTTGATGATTTTAGCGACATTATTTAACGGAACCGTTTCAAATTTGGTATTTGAAGTTCGTAATAGATACTGCAGCAGAAAACAGAAAATGGACCATGTAGGTCCACGTCTTCGTATTGGCCCCATATACCGTACCCCCCGATATTCGGTATTTTGATGATTTTAGCGACATTATTTACCGGGATTGTTTTAAATTTCGCATTTGAAGTTCGTAATGGATATTTCAGCCCATGCCAGAAAATTGTCTGTGCAGGTCCACGTCTTAGTATAGCCCCCATATAACGGTACCCCCTATATTCGGTATTTTGATGATTTTAGCTACTTTATAAACAAATTTTTCTTCATGTTTCGCATTTAAATGTTGTAATAATTTATGACAAAAGTTGCCTATGCATCTATACGTCGTCGTATAGACATTCGGTATTTTTAAGATTTTAACAGAATTTTTAAAGGATTTTTTTTAATTTAATTAATTTATTTATTTTATTTTTTTTGGAAATTGCCAAATTTGTACCAAATGGTGGAGGGTATTAAAAGTTCGGCCCGGCCGAACTTACAGCTTTTTTAATTGTTTAATACTTCGACATACACATTTAAGACCCCACAAAGTATACAGTTGCGGTCAAAATAATAGTAGTGGCTTTATAAGAATATTATTTTGTTTTGTAGATTCTGTGTTTGCTTCTCTGATCCTCTTTTCTTTTTTCCACTTCATAGCCTCGTGTAACAACAACATAAAATGTACCGTTATTTTTGCATACCATTGTTGTTGTTATAATGAAAATATGAAAAAGAACAACGATTTTGGCAGTCAATATAATAGTAGTGCTGTCAGAAGTCACAGATTTTTTCTATCATACACAATTTTTTACTAGTTTTCAGTGTTTACAGGTAAAAATAATTTATTTTAATTACAATAGGTATATTTTTCAAAAATATTTTATTTAGATTTTTTTTTTTTAAATGGTGCGTGGCGTGCATTGTACTGTAGAAAAACGATTGTTGATAAGAAAGCTGATTTCGGAGGGTAAATCGTATAAAGAAGTGCAAAATATTATAGGTTGCTCACCGACAATGGTACGCAATGCTATAAAATACACTCCCACTAGTGAAACACGTGGCCGTCCTCCAGTATTATCAAAAAAAGGTGTTGCACGAATAGTAAGGTATTCAAAACAAAACCCCTTTGCTGCTGCTACCGAAATAAAAGACAAACTTGCTGTGGAAGCTAGCGTTGAAACTATTCGCAGACGTCTTCGAGATGCAAATTTGGCGGCGCGAAGCCCACGAAAAGTGCCGTTGTTGAAGAAAATGCATGTAGATAAGCGACTAAAATTTGCTAAGGAGCATTTGGATTGGCCCATTTGTGGACTGATGAGTCAAAAATTGTTCTATATGGCGGGAAAGGCTCACGAGCTTACGTAAGACGGCCTCCTAATTCAGAATATAATCCAAAATTTACGTTAAAAACTGTAAAACATGGAGGATCCAGTATAATGATATGGGGATGTTTTTCTTTCTACGGAGTTGGACCAATATACTGGATAAATGATATCATGGATCGCCACCTGTACGTCAAAATATTACAGGAAGTAATGCTTCCATATGCTGAGGATGAAATGCCTTTGATTTGGACATTCCAACAGGACAAGGATCCAAAGCACACCAGCCTTCTTGCAAAACAGTGGTTTGCAGAAAACAACATAAGGGTAATGGAATGGCCAGCACAGTCTCCCGAGCTCAATCCCATTGAGAATTTATGGTGTGATGTAAAGGCCGTGGTTGCGCAAAGAAAACCTACAAGTAACAGCACATTGTGGGATGTTGTTAAGGATGCATGGGAGTCAATTCCTGTTGAAAGGTGCCAAAATTTGGTGAACTCTATGCCTCGACGCTGTGCCGCTGTAATTGCGAATAAAGGGTTTGCCACTAAATACTGACTTAATTGCCTAACTTTTGAAATGAAATAGCCCACCTATTATATATTTTAGTTATTAATATCCATTAAATCAATAACACTACTATTATTTTGACCGACTATATTTGAATTAAATTAAATATTTTTAAGTTTATATAGTGAACTTGAATTAAATTTATGTTTTTCTTGTATTTTAACTTTAAGTTATAAAACTAACGATGTTAAAAAAATAAAATTTCAAAACATTCATAAATATTTGAAGCCCTTTTTACTTATTTAACATTGTTGCAATACCTACTACTATTATTTTGACCGCAGCTGTATATATTCTTGATCAGCTTAAAATTCTATGTCGATTTAACGATGTCCGCCCGTCTGTGGAAATCAACCTAGCTTCCGCACGAAATGAAGTAGGTTCATAGGCAGGAATTTTGGTACTTAAAATGGGTCATGTTGGTCCACGTTTTGGTATAGCCCCCATATAATGATACCTCCCTGTTTTCGTGATTTGGTCGTTTAAGCAACATTATTCACCGGAAATGTTTTAAATTTGGTATTTGAAGTTCGTAATGAATACTAAAAGCCTGTGACATAAAATTGTCAGTGCATATCCACGTCTTCGCATAGCCTCCAAATAACGACACCTCCCGATATTCCGTATTTTGATGATTTTAGCGAATTTATTTTATTCACCAGAATTGTTTTAAATTTGCTATTTGAAGTGCGTAATGGATACTACAGCCTAAGAGAGAAAATGGTCTGTGCAGGTCCACGTCTTTCTAAATCTCCCCATATTCGGTATTTTGATGATATAAGCGAAATTATTCACCGGAACTTTTTCAAATTACGTAAAGTTTGGAAAAAATAATACAGCCTATCACAAAAAATTACTTATGCAGCACGTTTTTGCATAGCTTGCATATAAACGTATGAGCTGTATTTTTCAGCGAATTTTTTATTTTTTGAAATATTTAAAGTTCCTTCCGATTGGTGGAAGGTATAACAAGTTCGTCCCGGCCGAACTTAGCTGTTTTTTTATTGTTTATATTTTCCCACAAATAGTTGGTCATTTTTATAATCTCCACTTTGAAAAGAAGGGTATACTAACTTTGTCATTTCGTTTGTAACAACCCTAAATATTCGTCGTAGGCCCCGTAACATATACCCATAATCAGTACAAAATTCTAAGTCGATTTAAAGATGTCTGCCCGTTTTTTGAAATCACGATTTTGTGTCTAGGATGGTTGGTATTGAAAATAATTGGTCCACGTTTTCGTATATCCCCTATATTACGGTACCTCGCGATATTTCGTATTTTGATGATTTTCGCCACATTTTCCACGGATTTGTCTAAAAAATTCGTATTTGTAGTTCATAATGGTGGCAGAACATTGAATATCTAGGTCCACGTTTTCCCGTAGGGCACATATAACAGCATCCATCGATATTAAGTAATCCTAGTCACATTTACCCACAAAATTGTTTTAAATTTGGTATTTAAGAAGATTTGGTAGATAATGATCATTGAAGTATTAAATTGTCTTTGGAGGTTTCGGTTTTGGTATGCCCTCACCCACTTTGTTTTTTTTTTTTTTTTGAAAAGTTCAACGGCATTATCGGTCTTATTGGTATTTGTAGTTTAAAGTGGGACGCGTTTAAATTTAAATACTTTTATATAAAAATGTTTTCTTTACCCAATAGTGGAGGGTATTTAAAGTTCGGCCCGGCTAAATATAATGTCTTTGATTTGTTTTAAAATCAAAAAATGAAAAGTCTAAAATTCGACTTTGGTTTTCAAATTCGCATCCACGTTTTTGTGTGTTAAATGTTTCAACCAAATCTATGGCCGAAATGTCTGTAATTTAACGCTTCAGATTCTTACTATATTGGCAATATCCTAGAAGTATAGGTATAATCCCTATTTAACGCCATTACCATTTCAAATTAAATTACTTTAAACTGGTATCAGCTCGAATTTTGAATACCTCCTTGGGTATTGAGTTAAGACCCTATATAACGGTTCTGCGAAATTTATGGAATTTTGAAAGACTTTATCTGCGTCATCAACGGATTGCACATGCAAGAATGCATCTCACTAGTATTTAAAATTCCTATATTTTTATTTTAAAAGATTTTCTTTATTCCAGTGCGGAGAGTATACATAGTGCGGCCTTGGTATACAACACATTTCTGACACTTAGTATCGTTACATAAATTTGGTACCGGAAATACCTGCGCCAAATATTCAGAGCGGTGGTGGATGTTACCTGACCAACTTTTAATATTTCGTTTCTTACAAACGACGTTCTCGACCTTTGAAAATAAATGAAATGCAATAAAAATTGTATTATGAGATGATGAACATATTCCTATCTCTAAATATTTATTCAATTTTTTAGCATGGCTGATGCAGCCATCATATATAAATATATGTATGTACAAAAATATATAAATCGTAATTATCTTAACAACCTAACTATTTTTCAATTTTCTGCAAACATCTTGCGGGGGCCTTCTCATAGGCACACTTGATGATCTTGAAATAGGCATAATCTTTTAGCTCATCCGACTGGTGTTCTTCCACACAGTCGCGTATCATATCCAAATCACATTTATTCAAATTGAAACTTTCCTTCAGGGACCATGCAATGCGTTTGATTTCTGGTCCCTTGGCTGGGCGATAGACATTGGTCTCCGTAAGGAAACACAAAAGATATGCACGCACTTCGGGAGTATTTTTTATTTCGAACTTTTTAATTTCAGCAATGGTAGCTGCACTTGTTGAATGATCTTCCATGCACTCGGCCTCAATTTCGGGGCCATCGCGGGGGTACCATTTGGGCGTTTTACCCAAATCTAAAATTTCTGCATACACCTGGCATATTGCGATCATACCAAAACAGAATACTAATAGAACAGCACAGTTTTTCATTTTGAACGAGCTTTGAAGTTTGATCTCTGCGGCATACAAATGTAGACTAAAGACAAGGCGAAACAGTTATGGTATTTTAAGCCATTCACATGTCTGCAGCTATTGTTTTGTTTTCGAAAGAAAAAAAAAAAGAAAAAAACTCTAAGGCAAAACTTGAAATTCAACTACTACTGCGGGTTTCATAAAACAGCCAGGGGTTCCCAATCTTTCTATGACAATATACACAATAGCACTGCTAGACTTATTTGCTATGTTGATATATAAAAAATAATAAGTCAGGCCAAGTTAAATTATTTTAAGCCTCCCACCATACGAAGCCTAATGTTATAGCCAAACTGGTTTGTTATGCAAAGAAATGGACAGATACTGAACATATTGGAGGTCGAATTTATTTATTAGTGGTAGTTTTATAATTAAGTTTTATTTGAATATTTAAAGCATACTTTTAGGCGTAAGTTTAATTAACTTTCATTTATATGTCGAAGCATCATATGAAGTGCATGGTAGTCTGGGATCGGCAGCGCATGGAAATGCAATTAATTTCTCACAGAAACCTGACAAACTTTAGCGTAATACTCTCTCTTTCGATGATGTGTGTAAAAGAGTCGTATTTGAGCCTTGGATATTAAAAGTGGAAAATAATTAAAATTGTACGAATAAAAAATTGCAGAATTAGGACTTTTGGTAGGCATTTTTATACCCTCCACCAAAAAAGGTATGGAGGGTATATTAAGTTCGTCATTCCGTTTGTAACTCATCGAAATAATCATTTTAGACCCAACAAAGTATATATATTCTTGATCAGCGCAAAATTCTAAGACGATTTAGCCCTGTCCGTCCGTCTGTCCGTCTGTTGTAATCACGCTACAGTCTAAACGAATTAAGATAGGAAGCTAAAACTTTGCACAGATCTCTCTTTTGTCTGCAGGCAGGTCAAGTTCGAAGATGGGCTATATCGGTCCACGATATCGTATAGCCCCCATATAACGGTACCCCCGATATTCGGTATTTTGATGATGTTAGCCACATTTTTCAATGGAATTGTCTGAAAATCCACACAAGTAGTTTCTTGTGGGTACTTTATACCTCGGCAGAGAATTATCTATATAGGTCCACAATATCGTATAGCCTCCATATAACGGTACCCCCCGGTATTCGGCATTTTGATGATTTTAGCCATATTTTTTAATGGAATTGTCTTAAAATCCACACAAGTAGTTCCTTGCGAGTAATTTACCCCCTGAGAGAGAAATACCGATATTCGGTATTTTGATGATTTTACCCACATTTTGTCTAAAAATCCACACGGAATTGTCTGAAAATCCACACAAGGAGTACCTTGTGGGTATTTTATACCTAGGCAGAGAATTATCTATATAGGTCCACAATATCGTACAGCCCCCATATAACGGTACCCCCCGATATTCGGTATTTTGATGATTTTACCCACATTTTTCAACGGAATTGTCTGAAAATCCACATAAGTAGTTCCTTGTGGGTACTTTATACCTCGGCAGAGAATTATTTTTATAGGTTCACAATATCGTATAGCCCCCATATAACGGTACCCCCCGATATTCTGTATTTTGATGATTTTACCCACATTTTTCAACGGAATTGTCTGAAAATCCACACAAGGAGTTCCTTGTGGGTACTTTATACCTAGGCAGAGAATTATCTATATAGGTCCACAATATCGTATAGCCCCCATGTAACGGTACCCCCGATATTCGGTATTTTGATGATTTTACCCACATTTTTCAACGGAATTGTCTGAAAATCCACACAAGGAGTTCCTTGTGGGTACTTTATACCTCGGCAGAGAATTGTCCATACAGGTCCACGATATCGTATAGCCCCCATGTAACGGTACCCCCACGGCATTCGGTATTTTGATGATTTTTGCCACATTTTTCAATGGAATTGTCTGAAATTCCACAAAAGGAGTCCCTTGTGGGCAGTTTACCTCCTCAAAAAGAATTGTCTATATAGGTCCACGATATCGTATATTCCCCATATAACGGTACCCCCCGATATTCGGTATTTTTCAACGGAATTGTCTAACAATCCACACAAGGAGTTCCTTGTGGGTACTTTATACCTCGGCAGAGAATCATCTATATAGCTCCACAATATCGTATAGACCCCATATAACGGTACTCCCCTATATTCGGTATTTTTATGATTTTAGCCACTTTTTCCAATGGAATTATCTGAAAATCCATACAAGGAGTTCCTTGTGAGTACTTTACACGCAGACATAGATTTGTCTTTATAGGTCCACAATATCGTATATCCCCCCATATATCGGCACCTTCCTATATAAGCTATTTTAAAGATTTTAAAAGAATTTTTATTGAATTTAATTTTTTTGAAAAATTTCTAATTCGTTCCAAATGGTGGAGGGTATTCAAAGTTCAGCCCGGCCGAACTTACTGCTTTTTTACTTGTTATTTTTCAGGTGGAGTGCATTATAGTCAGAGATCGGCCACGTATGGAAATGCAATCAATTTCTCACAGAAACCTGACGAATTTTAAGGTAATACTCTCTTTCTCTCTCTTTCGATGATGTGTGTAATAGAGTCGTGTTTGAGTCTTGGGTATTAAAAGTGGAAAAGAATTAAAATTGCAGGAGTAAAAAATTGCCGAATAAGGACTATTGGTAGGCATTTTAATTTTTGGTAGAATATTATGAGGTGCATAATTTAATCTAAATCAGAGACACGTGTTTTATAGATGGTCATGGTTACATAGACTCCAATTTACCTGAAACTGATTTCATCGTACCATATATGGGACGTCTAAGAACCTTATTTTAATTTTTGATCCACTAAAAATAAATAAATATTTATAGTGTGGCGATTCGAGGGGTCAAGTAGACAAAAATGTTGGATGACAAAACAAAATAAGAAAATGAAAATAAAAATGATAAGAATTTCTATAAAAACACAATGAGATATTCTCTTGAGTGCAGTGATTGACATTGGAAGTATTGTTCAAAATGTTTAAAATAATTATTTCAATTTTCTTCATTTCATTGGTAAGCTTGAAAACGATAAATTAAATATTTTGCTCATAATACCAAGTTATTAAAATCCAGGTTTTTGCCAAACGTCCCGATTGGTATCCGGAAAATCCCCTAGAAATTGAAGCTGAATGTATGAAAAAGTATAACGTTAATGCCGAAACGATTGCCAAAAATCGCTCCTTTCAACTTGAGGATACACCCATAGTGCGTTCGCTGGTGTTCTGCATTGCTGTGGGGAAAAATGTCTATCGGCCTGAAAGTGGATACGATCCAGAACGTTTGGCACTTGGTCTTAAGTATGGTTTGAATCTTGACTGCAATGTGGATTTCCTCAGTAACTGTGCTCACAGCCACAATGATGTAGAGTCTCAAGAAGGGAAATTTTTTGATTTCTTTAAATGTGTTTTTGGTGGTATTGAGGGAAATTGCGAAAAAGTTCAATAAATTTTTGGAAGGTGTCAAATTTTATTGGGGCAATAAAAATGTGCAAATAAATTTTAAAATAAATATAGATTTTTGCCATAGAGTTTTCTATGTAATTCGTGAAGGAAATAGTCCGGATTTTTATCACCTTCTTTGATTCATGCAATTAGTTTGCTGATCGCAAATAAGCTGAGCTTGTTTCATGAAAAAAAATATCTCAGCAACATCTAGTCCAAATTTTAATGTGAGAAAGAAAGAGAACATAAACGGCTAACTAAACAAGTTACAAGTAAAACAGCAGTAAGTTCGGCTGGGCGAAACTTTGAATATTATTTGGTGCGAGTTTGGAAAATTTCAAAAAGATAACATCCATTAAAAATTCTGTTAAAATCTTAAAAATACTGAATATAGCCATTATATTGGGGACTACACGAAAAAGTGGACCTGCATAGGCCACTTTTGTCATAAGCCATTACAATATTCAAATACGAAAATTAAAAAAATAAAAAAAATCCGTTAAATAATGTAGCTAAAATCATCAAAATACTAAATATAGGGAGGTACTGATATATGGGGCCTATATGAAGACCTGGATCTGCATAGACAATTTTTAGTCAGAGGCTGCAGTTCCCATTACGAACTCTAAATACGGAATCAAAAAATCATCAAAATACCGAATATTGGGAGGTACCGTCATATGGAGGTTATGAGAAGACGTGGGCCTGCATACACAATTTTTTGTCATAGGCTGTAGTACCCATTACAAATTCTAAATACTCCGGTGAATAATGTCCTTAAAGTCGCCAAAATAACGAATATCGGGGGGTACCGTTGTATGTGGGTTATACGATATCGTAGAATAAAGTGCTTGGAAAGAACTTGGAAAATGTAGCTAAAATCACCAAAATACCGAATATCGGGAGCTACCGTAAAATGGGAGATAATCTTCTTGGGGGTAAATTACACAGAAAAAATTCCTTGTGTGGATTTTCAGACAATTCTGTTGGCTAAAATCATCAAAATACCGAATATAGGGAGGTACCATTATATGAGGGCCATACGATATAGTGGACCTATATAAACAAATCTCTTCTATGGGGTCAAGTACTCAGAAACAACTCCTTGTGTGGATTTTCAGACAATTCCGTTGGAAAATGTGGACTCTACATATTTTAGATCGGGAATTGAATTGAATTTTATTCTGATCGGGAATATACATACTTTTGGTGTCTCCTAAGGAGTGGGGGCAAATTCCTCCTCTTCCATACTTTTACACATTTTCGTACTAAGATTCCGTGCAATATTTCACATAAAAATACGAGGAATATTTTGGTCTACGATTTTAACCCTCAAGCGAGTCAACAAAGGGGCCGTGTTGGTCCTTTTTTAAATATGTTCGCGAAACTATTTGTCTTGAGATTCTACTATATGTCCTAGAAGACTTCAAAAGTCTAAATCAGGAACTCGTATATATTAAAACCAGTAAGGAAAAGTCAAAAGTCGGGCGGGGCCGACTATATGATACCATACACCACTATGCTTATTTAGTAGAGCTCTGGTAACAAAATAATTTATTTGAAGTAGATCATACCATTTGGCTTTAGAGCAGTTGTAATTTTGTTTCAGATGGAACTAATAGCGGAAGCATTTCAAATTCTGAATCGATTTTCACTAAATTTGACGGAGACATATCAACCTTTTATACCAATTTAACATTGCTATAGAGTGCATTATATCACTTCGAGAAGGATTATATTACAAAATATATATCTGAGCCGAGTTCCACAAAATGGAAGCGTACGTCCCGAAATTCACTTAACCTGAAATCGGAGTAAGGATATATATGGGAGCTATATCCAAATCTTAGCCGTTCTAGATAAAATTTGGCAAATGTATTTCCGAGCTCTATAAGATATCGGGTACCAAATATCATTGCTGTCGAATGCATATTACGAATGTTCGGGACTTAATTACAAATTCGGATGAAACCTATATATGGGAGCTATAGCTATATCAGAACCGGTTTTTTTCAAATTTGATGGACTTACTTCTAGACCAAATTCGGTCGGATAAGCCAAAATTCAGGTTATTTGAAATGATATTGGCCATTTGGTGCACAATTAACCCGAAATCGGTTGAAGATGTATATGGGAGCTATATCCAAATCTGAACCGATCTTGATACAATTTGGAATAGGTATTTCTGGGCCGTATCTGATATCTTATACCAAACATCATTCTTGTGGGTTGCATATTACGAATGTGAGGGACTCGAACACCAAATTGGATGAACATTTGCGTGCCAAAACATTTGCGTGCCAAAGGCTTTAATGCACCCTTCAGAATATTTTCGGCATTTATTCTGATGCCTGGGTCGATTAATACTAGCGTAGCGGCCCACACCATCACCATGGCCGGCGCTTGAGTTCTGGTGGCCAAACGAAGGTGGGTGCACATTTTCAGCTGACCTCTTTGGCAAGTAAAAACGATCATTTTGTTTGTTTATAAACTGCTGGACAACGAATGTTTTCTAATCGGAGAAAACCAAATTCGGCAGTTCACCACTTTCGGAGAAGCGAAGCAACTCTTTAGCTCTTTTGAGTCTATTTTCTTTCTGTTGCGGTGTAAGTTCTTGCACTTTTTGGAATTTCATTGGTTTTACACCGAGCTCATTTTTCAATATTTGTCGAATGGAATATTGCGATATGTTGAGCTCACGAGCCATTTTTCGGCCACAGCGACGCGGGTTTCGATCAAGTCGCTTCTTTACTTTTCGAACCATTTCTGCTGATGTTGCTGTTTTCTTCCGTCCACTTCCTTGACGTCGGGCTACGCTACCAGTATAACGGTAACGAGCGATGTTACGAGACACAAAAGATTTATTCACATTTAAATCCAGAAGTGCTCTAACGATAGCCACTTGTGGTTTTCCAGCCAAATATAAAGAAATCACACTATCACGCTTGAATTCCATCACGAATAACTGTTTTTCTGGAAAATTCCCACCAAAATGTTTTTGTACGCTTGTAAACAATATAATGAACTGTAATTGGAATAATTTTAACAGCTGTCGAACGACTGGCTTAGAAATGACAGCCGTCTGAAGTTGTTTGCAGTTTTGTATTTGCATCAATGTCCCAAGAAACTCGATAATATTCTTAAATTTTTTAATCAATTTTTTCTCTGACTTTTCGAGTTGACGCCTGAAAGTAACAAAAAAATTAGTTTTGGGCGAAAATTGTCAAAGGAAAAAATATTCTACACGAAATTTCATTATTGATCTCAGAATAAACCTAGGTACAATAGTTTTTTTTTGAAAATTATATTCAAAATTTATGTACTGAAAGTGAAAATTTTATGTTTGCTTCCGTGGCAAATTCTTCCTTCATACTTCATATTTTGGATGAAGTATCAAAGTAAGAATTGTTCTAAATCAAATTTCATTGTGGGTCTCCGAATAAAATAAATTTGTATACTTAAGATATACAATAAAAAATTGCAGATATTTTTGTTGTTACGATACGCATGTCTATTTTAGCTTTTTTGTCATAATCCGCTTGATTTTGCCAGTATACCAATAATTACATCCGATTTCAAATTAAAGTCGCTTTAGGCGTTTTGGCTGGGCATTGATGAGACCCCCAAGAAAATAAAACCATTATGAAATATTTTATTTATTTATTTTTATTTTCTTCTTCAAACACTCTCACACTCTTCAAAGGCATTTTCCAATATACATTTCATTATATTAAAATATATAATGTCCTCCGAATATGAATCTTCATAGCTATTATCAATGCAATCTTGAATCAGGTTCAGAGGACAATTATATTTATAGGTATTTTGTATTTCATAAGCCAGACGTTCGGCGATAAACCCCACCTCTGGGCTGTAAAGATTTTTACCCATGGCAGTGCAGAATAGGTATGAGCGAAATGTGGGATTATGTTTCACCTTCAAATGACCGTTTTCATTGGCAATCATTTCATCAGCGAGGGGATATTGTTCACGACATTTTGCCTCGATTTCATTGGAATTCGTTGGATACCACTGTAAATCTTGAACAAATATCTGTAATTGTTAAGGATTTCATAGGATTTTTAAATTGATGGTCTGATTCGGGCTTACCGCTGTCACACTAAGCAAGGCGATGCTGAGAATTTTAAACATGGCTGGCAGAAATCTGTGCTTTTTCACATTAAACTGCAGACTAGGTGTGTCTGAGGCATTATTATTTGGAACAACCACAGCTAACTTGTTATCAGCAAATTTATTCGATGAGTCAAAGAAGGTGATAAAAATCCAGACTATTTCTTTCACGAATTATATAGAAGTCTCCAGGGCCAAACATACCTGAATAAATTCGGTATCAAAGCTTTGGGTTTGATGATGTTTATATTTTATATGTTTTAATATTTATTTGAATATTTTTTTGGCTCTAAAAAATTTGACAATTTCCAATTTTTTTTTATTTGAATTTTTAAATTTATTTCATTATTTTTATTGCTTTCAAAAATAAAAAGTTAACAATTTCCAAAATTTCATTCAATTTTCTTACAATTTTCCTTGATATCATCAAAAACACATTTAAAGAAATGGAAATATTTTCCCTCCTGAGACTCAATATTGTTGTACTTGTTGGCACAGTTACGAATGAAATCGACATTACAATCAACATTCAGCCCATACTTTAGACCAACAGCAAAACGTTCTGGTTCAAAACCTTTTTCGGGCCGATAGACATTTTTACCAACAGCACTGCAAAACAACACGGACCGAACTGTGGGTGTATCCTCAAGTTGGAAGGCGCGAATTTTGGCAATCGTTTCGGCATCAACGTTATACTTTTTCATACATTCCGCTTCAATTTCTTGGGGATTTTCCGGATACCAATCGGGACGTTCGGCAAAGACCTGGTTTTAAAGAATTTAAAATTAGGTCCATATTTAATTTGTCGTTTTCCAATAACTTACCAAAGAAAGCAAACAAATTGTAATTATTATTTTAAACATCTTGAATTATACTCCAAATACCAATTACTGCGCTCAGGAGAATGTGTCATCGGGTTTTTATAGAACACCTTATCATTGAATTTTTGTTAAATGTTTTTTTGTCACCCCTAATGTTTGTTCATTTGATCCCTCAAATCGCCAAATTATCATTTGATACTTTAGTTATTTGAGTGAATTGAAAATGTGCCGAATTGAAAATAAGATTTTAGACCTTTCATATTTGTTAGAATGAAATCCGCTTCAGGTTATTTGGGGTAAGTTTTGCCATACTCATTTATTGTGGGCGGGGTAACACACATTTCTGCCACTTTAGGTAGAGCCGGATTTTAAAATTTCAAATACCGAATTTTAAGCAATTACGCTAGGAACTAATGCTAAAAATCATCAAAATATCGATTATGGAGAAGAACACATATTTGGGTGTTATACGAAAACGTTGATCGAAATGGCTCATCACCGAACTTGAACTGCCTGCAGATAAAGGAAAGCTCTATGCAAAACATTAGCTTTCTTTGAACTCTAGCGTGACTACAACAGACCGATGTACATGGTTACATCGACTTAGAATTTTACGCTGATCAAAAATATAATTTATTTTTGGGGCTTAAAATGAATATTTCGAGGAGTTTCAAACGGAAATTCCTATTTGGAAAATTAAAGTTTTCTTGAAAAGATTCGTTTTAAATCATATTCACATCCTCTGTAAGAACAAGTAATATATATATATATATATATATATATATATATATATATATATATATATATATATATATATATATATATATATATATATATATATATATATATATATTACTTGTTCTTACAGAGGATGTGAATATGATTTAAAACGAATCTTTTCAAGAAAACTTTAATTTTCCAAATAGGAATTTCCGTTTGAAACTCCTCGAAATATTCATTTTAAGCCCCAAAAATAAATTATATTTAAATCATATTCACATCCTCTGTAAGAACAAGTAATATATATATATATATATATATATATATATATATATATATATATATATATATATATATATATATATATATATATATATATATATATATATATATATATTACTTGTTCTTACAGAGGATGTGAATATGATTTAAAACGAATCTTTTCAAGAAAACTTTAATTTTCCAAATAGGAATTTCCGTTTGAAACTCCTCGAAATATTCATTTTAAGCCCCAAAAATAAATTATTTTTTGATCAGCGTAAAATTCTAAGTCGATGTAACCATGTACATCGGTCTGTTGTAGTCACGCTAGAGTTCAAAGAAAGCTAATGTTTTCCATAGAGCTTTCCTTTATCTGCAGGCAGTTCAAGTTCGGTGATGAGCCATTTCGATCAACGTTTTCGTATAACACCCATATATGTGTTCTTCTCCATAATCGATATTTTGATGATTTTTAGCATTAGTTCCTAGCGTAATTGCTTAAAATTCGGTATTTGAAATTTTAAAATCCGGCTCTACCTAAAGTGGCAGAAATGTGTGTTACCCCGCCCATATATATATATATATATATATATATATATATATATATATATATATATATATATATATATATATATATATATATATATATATATATATATATATATGTGTATATATATATATATATATATATATATATAAAGTCAACAATTTTTTATACTCTCAGACATCAACTGACATCTGTTCTAACGTAACCCAACGTTAACTGAGCCATTTAGTCTTTTGTCTTGCAATCATAAATTTTGCTATCAGTTGTTCTGCATTTATTGAAATTAGCACTGCTACACTTTTGACCTCTTTTCTATTACACTGTGCAACATTAAAATATTATTTAAAAACAAGTAAGCAAAGGCTATAGTCGTGCGGGGCCGACCATGTGATACCCTACAACACAACAATATATTAGAAGCCCCTTTAAGTCCAAATCCATTTTGAAAGATTTCGCTTTCTTTGTCCTGAAGCAATGCCCAAATATTACCATTAGCATTTTGAACAGGGACATTTACCCAATATTTACGCACTCCGTCGTGCTGTTAGTTGTTGTTGTCCATTTTATAGCTAAATATAATCCAGTGGTCATCCAAAATGCTACAATTCTTCCCTGTCCTTAACTCTCTTCTTAAGCGTGTCGATTGGCTTCAATTGTTTGATCAGGAAATTTTTTCTGTTTTTGTCCATTTAAACACCCAAATATATTGCGGACATCTTTAAAAACAATAGGCCTAGCCCTTCTGAGCATAATCCTACACTTGTGAAAATTTTCGTGAGGAACGATAATTGTAGTCTGTATATAATACCCCCAAACTGTGTTGTAAGGTGAGAAAATGTTACAAAATATACATTTCAATATTATAGGTCAAACTGAAAAAATCGCATGCGATAAAAAATATGAAAAAATAAAAAAATCTACATTAACATCATTATTGGAATCTTTTTAGACTTTATCCTTTTATGCCAACAGGGCATTCTGAATTGACAAAATTTGTCAAAATCGGTCTAGCCATTCTTGAGATATAAGCATTCTAGGGGATGTTAGCCTTCCTTTGTACATACACATTGTATATATTTCGCTATAAATATCCGATATATTTACTATCGGCATCTACGTTACGGTCAGAATTGACCTTTCCATCTATTGGCGATTTCGCCGGGACTAAAAATGTTCGCGGTCAATGGAATATTTGACTTTTATTTAACAGAAATGATATGGTCTATTTCACCCACTAAATATTACCCGATGACCATCAAAATTGGAAGACTTCTGACCAGCCCTTACCTCTAGCACCCTACTAAATTCGATTGGAATATAATTGAGACCTGTAAAGCAACTGCACAATCAAAAAATTTTTCAGTTTTTGGTCCATTTCAACCCCTTAATATTATGCGATCATCTCCAAAAACAATAGGGTTCTATTCTGGCCCTAACCCCACCTCTATTTTCAATTTCGTGAGGATTGGGCCATAGTTGCGACCTGTAGAGTGATTACAAATTAACATGGACAGACGGACGGACGGACATACATAGCTAGATCGACTCAGCTCGGCGAGATAGGAAGATCTATATATACTTTCCTATGTGGGAAATCGATATTTCGAGGTGTTACATCATTTTTGGCCCAAACAAACTTATAATACCCCAAAACATAGTGTTGTAGGGTATAATAATTTTATAGAGCGGACCGAATTTTTTATACCCTCCACCACTATGTTTATCGAAGCAAATTGAATTAAATGAAAAGATAAAAGAAGAATCCATTCTAATTAAAATATAAAATAATCCAAACCAAAATTGGGTTGGAAATTGTAGCAGAACCCTCAAAAATGACCATAATTGGAAGGTCCCTTTGTATGGGGGCTACACCAATTAGTGGAAGCTAATCGAACCATTTTCGCAAGAAGAAAACATTTCAGTAACCCCAAGTGTCAAGCTTCAACTGATTTGGTTGGGAATTGTAGCAGAAACCTTCAAAATACCAAAAACAGGGAGGTACCGTTATATGGGGGCAAGTAGTGGACCTGTAGCGAGCGAATATTTTTTACAGGGAGAGAACAGACCTACCAAGACCTCAAAATGTAAAGTCTCAGTTGATTTGGTTGGAAATTGTGGAAGAAACCTTCAAAATACCGAAAATCTGGAATTACCATTATATGGGGGCTATATATCTAAATGTGGACAGATAGACAGACAGACGAACATCGGCAAACCCGCTTATTCTGATCAGGAATATATATATATATATTTTTGGGTCTCCGACGAATATTTTGATAAATCCTTTATTGTATTGCAGAGGGTATAAAAACATAGATGAGTAGTACTTCGCTAGTTCCAATTTTCAATGCCATTTCCTTAAGTCATTACAAGCTCAACTTGAAATAGAAAATTATCAAAAATCCAGCAACAAATGACCTTTGCCTTAGCAGAGCAAATATTTCAAATTCAGAAAAACTTAGTCGATTATGAAAATGGAGCTAAAAATGTATGACCCGTGTACTGGCGTTTTGAAAGTTTTCTTAACAATCTAACCTAAGTAAGAGGGGGGAGGATTAAGATCACTTTGGATCCTTCTTCACCAATATTAGTGTTAACAATACGAGGATTATTTTGCTCGAAAATATTAGCACTAGTCACATTAGGACTTTAGATCTATTTCGGAATATAGTTATAAACTATGTTTGTCATCCTTGCATATTAGGTACACATTTTCTTCTAGTATAACTAGTTCATAGTGGTAAGGGTCTATATGTCTTCCTGCATTTGTTTGTAACATGGAGAAGGAAGCGAGATAGACTTATAGTTACTTATGAAGATCTTCATAGAATAACTTTATGAATCGATTTGTGCATGTCAATCCGTCTGTCCGTCCGTCAATTCTAGTGAACAAAATGCAGGTCGCATTTATTGGTGATAATCGGATCGGATATTGAAATTGGTGATAATCGGATCAAATTTAGATATAGCTCCCATATATCTTCAACTGATTTCGGTTAATTGTGCACCAAATGGCCAATATCAGTCCAAAAGTCCTGAATTTTGGTACATCCGACCTAATTCAGTCTAGAAGCAAGTACATCGAATTCGGAAAAAATCGGTTAAGATATAGATATAGCTCCCATATATATGTTTTTCTACGATTTGATGTTTAAGTCCCCCATAGAATGACGTTTGGTATCAGATACAGCCCAGAAATACCTCTGAAAAATTGCATCAAGATCGCTTCAGACTTGGATATAGATCCCATATATATCCTTAATCCGATTTCACGTTTATTGTGCAAATAATGGCTAATATCAGCCCAAATGGAGTGAACTTCGGGACGTACGTTTCCATTTGGTGGAACTCGGATCCGATACATTATTTTTTAATATTATCCTTCTCAAAGTGATATCCTGCTATAGAGTGCAATGTAATTTGGTATAAAGGATTAAAATGTCTCCGTCAAATTTAGTGAAAATCGATTAAGAATTGGAGATGCCTCCCCCATATTAGTTCCCACTGAAACCAAACTATAACTGCTCTAAACCCAAATGTTGATAGGTTGTATGGTCTACTTCAAACAAATTATTTTGTTATGGGAGCTCTACTAAATATGCATATTGGTG